ACGGCCACTGTAGTTACACATGCTACATGCTTCATAGCCCATTCTCATTCCCAGGTTGTCAAAAACAGATGCAAGTGTTCAGTTAGTTGCAATCTGCAACTTAAAGGACCAATGTGTAGGATTTTGTGGCCCTCTAAAAATGTCTAAACTATCTAGAGACAGTGTTTGGTTTGTCTGTTCTGGGCTGCTGTAGAAACATGGCGGACTCCATGGAAGGCGACCCTCGCTGTCTGTAGATAAACATGGCTCATTCTAAAGTCACAAAAATACAACCATACCTATGAATATTATATTCCATTTCTGCCACTAGAGCCTCACATGGTGAACAGTGCTGCAGTGTTGTTGTTTTTTTCATTCAAAACTGTCAGAAGCACCAGAACCATTCTAGCTTTAGTGTCTAAGCAGCAGTTTGTTTAAGTACAGCTGAGAGAAAAATATTCTATTATTTTAGTAGTTGCCTTTAAGTTGCCCTATACAGGTTTAATGCTAATCCCATGTGGTCTTAAGTCCCTAATGCTAAAGCATATAGTGTAATATTTGTGTAACATTAAAATCTCAAACATAAGTGAATAGTTTATTAGCTGTCTGGCATGTTTCCCGTTTAAACAAGGAAGTAAGGTTGAAAGTCTTACTGAAAAACAACATCCCTCATACAGTTGTCTGAACTGGCCCATAAAGCACATCCACATGATGAATAGGTCAGTTGAGATGCATTTCATGTGACCTGTCTGCTGCTCCCACTCGTGCAGCTGAGATGAAGAACACACACAGACCGCTGTGTGTGTATGTATGTGCATACTGTATGTAAATGGAACATGTGTTTGATGTATAAACAGAAGTGAATTGTTTGTGTGAGCATCTTTTTGCATCCACCTGAAACCTGACCAGGACTTGTGTGCATGTTTTGGGTGAATGAGAGTGTGTGTGTATCAGGGTGATACAGCATGTTTGATAGAGAACTGTCTATTGTCTCCAGAGGAAACAATATGACACTCAGTTACAGCTGTAGGCTACAGTTATGCACGCACACGTAACCCAAACAGGCACACCTACATATTTCAGATACTCTCTGTGGGCTTTGCGGTGGGTGTTACATGTGAATTGCTAAGCAAGTTGAAAACCACATGTTGATAAAGCTGCATATTTGTAAACTGATGCTTTGCAATGTTTTTAACAGTTACTACTGCTGTTGGTACTTAATATTTAAAACGTATTGTCTTTAATACATTATTATACATTCGCTCTTACTACACCAAAGGGCCTCATGTCCTTGCGTATAAATCTCGCTCTGTTATTGGTGATTGCATCTTTAAGAGGTTGTGGCGACTGCCCACAAGCAAGTCTGCAGATTTGCTGTCGTAGAGTCAGACAGAAGCACACTGCTTCTCAGATGCGCTATTGTCCGCTTTGCTCAATGTTTTGTTCACTAGCGTCCTCCATTTTTGTAGTAAACACCATAACATTGCTAGCTTAGTTTACTGACAGGTCAATAGGTCAATCTGACAGTGGCGTGCACTCTCCTGGATCTACCTGAAATGGTCTTTGGGTTTATAGACAGTACATTCTGAATTTGAACAGGTCATTACACTAAGCAAACGAACCATGTTCTAATGAATTTTTGAATTTTGAATAACAAGTGACAGCCCTACAGCTTATTGTTAGGATTAGCACCCTAGAGGGCACAATAACATACTATATCCACTGGAAGGGCACCCTAAAGGCCACTTGAATGCTATGGAAGGACCAAAACCAATATTGCATTAGTCTGTCTGTCTCTGACTTCTGTAGTGTGTCTGTGGCACTCACCACCAAGCCTGTGTAGTACGTTACTACTGAACATGTAAATCAGTGAAAACGTGTAGCTTCATTTGTAGTTTCCTGGGCACTGTAGTTTTCACCAAATTCTGGAGGAAATAGTGCAATTTGGTTGGGACTATTTTCAGCTGTGGATTAATACACAATGCACGTGCTAATGAGAATTTACTGCGTGGTGTACGGCTGAGTCAATATATATAGTGTGTGTTTATGATAATAAAAAAAACATGTCACACGGTGTAACGTGTAGCTCATTGATGTGAGTTTAATGGTTTTTTAGTCAACAATGGGAGCTGGTAGAATCCGTTCACTGGGATTTGTTCACCATACTAAAAATATAGAATATTGCCAGGTTAGGCAGTTAAAATAATGTGTTCAAGGTTAGTAAAAGATCATGCTCATGGTTAAATAATGAAGACGTCAATGCTTTCTACTTCACAAGACTGCAAATAAACCCAGGTGGCTGCTTATGCGCCCATTGACGCCTTACATTTACTCACTCTTACACTACATATACTAAGTGTCACACTGCTTTCTGCATTGCCACTGAAAGTTTCCATTGAACATAAGTCACAAGCTCTCCCAGACTTCCGCTGGGTACCAGTAGGGAATGAACAAGTAAATAGGTAAAAACAGTAATTTAGGGCAGCCCAACGAAGATGGTAATGTATAATATTTGCAGTTGGATTTCAACTATGTCTGCACTGGTGCTTCAAGACAATATTCATCAGGTAAATCAAATAAAGATAGATGATGATAGGGCCAAAATCCAATGCACACATAGTCGCCACCTCAATTTCGAGGCCTTGTCTCACTGTGGACAGTATTCAGAATAAACAAGTAGTCGATCAGACAGAGAAAGTGAGGCACCATCATCTCACACATACCGAGTCCTCATTGAACCGTGGCCAAACAGGTATGTGGCGTTCTGTTGTACAACTGTCACTGTCACTCGGTTTCCCCCTTCATACTTCCCACCATCCACACACAGAAAAAAGCAGAGATCCCCTTTGCTGCCGTCTTCTTCCCTTTGCTGTCTGGAATTTTGCACATTCCCTCAAACATCTGCCCTTTTTTCACCAACTCCGTTCTCCTCGTCTCACTATCCATATTTCCAGCTATTTCTTATTTTCCATTCCCTCGTCCCTGCTGCTTGCCGTCTGTCTTTGTCATTCACTCCTCCTCAGCGCTGCCTGACTCGCTCTGTGATATATGAGCCTCAGGAGGCGTTTGGGCCTTTCAGTGTGCTGCTGCGTCCTGTGTTGTTCTGTTCTAGCGTGGGCCATTGTTAAGAAAAGTTCACAGCAAATATACAAAACAAAAACAAAACAAACCCAGGCACAAAACATAGTGAAATCACGACTGTACACATTTATTTAGAGATGTAAAAGGGACGAGAAATGACAGAAATTGCTCTGTAGAATGTGTCCAGGTTTGTTTACATAACCTTTTGACTGACACATAATATTCTTCTCTGAAGTGTAGAGACATATCGATTGTGAGGATGTGATTCAGTATGGTTTGTTGATATGATTACATCACTATACAGAGCTATCTATGCACAGTATGTATTGGCTGTTTTTAATGGTACATATCCCCAGTGTTGGTACAGTGGCACCATCTAGTGGACTCAAAGCTTTACTAAATTCTCTGTCTAAAACAAGAATAGTCAAGACACAAAACAATTTAAAATAAAATAAAATAAGTGGTAAAAATGAAGAATATTTGTATAAATATACTGGAGACATTCATGATTCAAACAGTGTTCTACTCTTTGATATCACAGGAATTTACATACAATTAAAAGCAAATATTTTAAAAATATTTAAAAATGTATCTTTCATTTAATCACATGGATTGCTCTGGTTCCTGATTTTTCCACTTTGTTTTAATGTTTTTTTAATTTCAGTCAAAAGTAAAAGCTTCCAGTATTTGGTGTATTTAGATATTTGTTGTTAGCATTTATTAGTATGTTGAGTGTAGTCAACCACTGGTGTTGGAACAATACTTCAGAAAAAGTCATATTACTTTAAAACTTAATAAAATAAAATTAAATGTGGAATGTTCTTTTTTTGCCCATTTAACTTGCATTATAGTTATTCAGAAACTTAGATATACCACCAATGTCCCCTTAAAGTGTTGATAAATAAATCTCTGATTCTCTTCTTTTTAATGTACATTTTCAACAAGTTATGTTAAGAGATGTTTTGAAAAGCCTTAATTCTGATTATTTCAGTAGAATGTGTAATTTAGGTCCTTTTATTATGAAAAAAAAATCACACTATTTACATGTATCTTTAATAGATTGTGGTTTTGATTGTAGACATCAAACGTTGAAAATGACCTGGTGTCATTCTGTTGCTCACTCAGTGAGTCAGTGGGGTTTTCCACAAACCACTAACCCACAGACACACACATGAGGCAGAGTAAGTGTGACCCAGCATTCTTTGCTAGACTTCAATCCCAGAGGACGTTTGTTTAGCCAGGTAGATAAATAGGAACGGGAGTGAAGAGGCACTTGTTTACAGTTTGGGAAACAAAGTGCTAACAGACCAAACAGCATGTGGATGTTGCCTGCTGTCAGACAAACAAACCTGACTCAACAAAAATGAGTCAATATTTTAACGTCTGGTAAATGTCCAGTGTGCAGGATTTAGTGGCATCTAGCGGTGTAGTTACAGGTCGCAGCTCTGTTATTTCATCCTCCCCTTCCAAACATACCCCTAACTAAAGCCAGTGTTTGGTTTGTCCCTTCTGGGCTACTGTAGAAACATGGTGGTTCAACGACTCCATTGAAGGCACCCTTCAGCTTCTGTAGCTATAAACGGCTCATTCTAAGGTAATAGAAACATAATTATACCTATATTTTACACTAATGAAAACATAGCTATGACTATTATTTTCGGCCAATAGATCCTTCTAAATGTTACACACTGGACCTTCAATAGAAAAGGATCACAAACCTGAACAAACCCTCCTGTTCACAAATGAAATCCATCACAGATTCTAACCTTTAACCGTCTTATAACACACACACACACCACACACACACACACCAACACACACACACACACACTGCCATGGCTTAGCCATATTCTGCAATTTATGCCCGTTGCCCACATCTTGATCTACAGATGGACAATTCTACAACTAGGTCACCTCACTGAAATCTTCACTTTATTTTATTACTGAGTTACTGGAGGCTTTTTGATCTCATCTTCGTCCTCCACCTGAGTGTCTGGGTTGTCTCCCTCTGCACTGCCAGTCTGTCCACCCCACCACAGTTTAAAGTAGGTGTTGAGCCGCTCCAGGATGTCTATGGAGTGATTGATAAGCAGGGCCAGCCAGGCCAGGCCGAAGAAGATCCACGAGGCCATGAGGACACTGTACCAATCTGGGTATTCTCTGTCCGGATTATTATCTGGAACGGAGAGATTCAGTTAATACAAAAAGCTAACAAATAAAAACATGAAAAATAAAAGTAAATGGTCACTAAGGATTACAATGTGACAATCAGCCCTGCAGTGTGTTTCATGGTGGAGATGACAACTGCGCTGTACCTGCCACAAAGTCTCCAAAGCCAATGGTGCTGAGGGTGATGAAGCAGTAGTAGATGGCCTGGGAGTAGGTCCAGCCTTCATGCTGTTGGAACACAATCATGGGCACAACAAAGAAGAGAACTGCTCCTGACAGGTAGGACACCAGGTGGACAAAAAAGCGGGTACATGTCTGCAATGGGATGTGGGAGGGAGAAGTGAGTCAACAAATTAAAATGGCAAAGATCATTCCTGTCTACAATAAAGAAGACACTTTTTGGAAAACTATACTGGACCAATTTCTCTCCTTCTCAAAAATTTCAGAAAAACGTTTAAAGATTCGACCATTTTCATAAACAAATCAAACTTATTGAGTGACCATCAGTGTGGTTTTAGATCTAATCGACCGCAATGGCGGAGATGGAATCAACATATACTGTAGGAGTATTCATAGATTTAAAAAAGAAAATTCACACTATTGATTACAGATTATTAATAAGGAAAGTTGAAAGATAAGGCTTGGTACACTCTATTGATAATAGGTATCAGTATGTGAAAATAAACAATGACAAATCTGAATTGCTGAGTCACTTGTGGGGTTCCACAAGGTACAGTACTGGGCCCAAAGTTGTTTATATTGTATATTAATGATATTTGTTTCCAATTGTGTTTTAATTGCAGGTGATATGAATTTATTTTGTTCTGTTAAAGATTTAGAGCAGTCTGGATACAGTGGATACAGAGTTTTTCACATTACAATGTGTCTGTATGTGTGTACAAAATAATTTTTGGGAGTTGTTATAGAAACAACAAACTATGCTAGAAACCATATATAAATCATGTAAATGCCAAAATGTCAAAATCCATTACAATATTGCACAAAACAAAAGATATTCTCAATCCACATGTATTATATATATTGTGCCGTTCTTTAATTGTTCCATATATTACCTGCTGTGTGGACTGTTTGGAGAATGCAAAATAATGATTTTGGCTTGATTTTTTCCCCAAGGGAAGATATGCCAGGAATAACAAGTGTTTCCAAATGCAATTCTTTTACTACCGAAAAGAGCCATGAGAATTATTAACAGAGCAGATTATCATGAATCAACTAACATCTTATTTATAAACTAACATGCTCTCAGATTTAGAGATTTGGTGGACTTCCAAATGGCACAATTAATGTATAAAGTGAAAAAATTAGATGCTTCCAGACTGTATCCTAAGTGTGCCAGTATGAACTAAGAATAATTTGCATGTTTAGAAAAACAAAGGTTGGAACAAATGCAAATCAAAGATGTATAACAGTTAAATGAGTTCATTTGTGGAACAGTTTTGAAAAGGAAATGAAAATGTGTAATACACTAAACAGATAAGAAAATAATATGTATCAATATTTAAAACGAAGGAAGGAACACTATTGTGTATATTCATTTTTGTTTGGGACTTTTGGGTCTATATAATAATATATATGTGAAAATACATATTTTTAGGATCTGTACATAATAAATGTAAAGCTAAGGCTGTAGCCTTCAGGGTCAGTATAGTTTCTTTGATTGTATTTATTTATTTACATGTGTTTTTGAGTTGTAAACTAACTAACTTTAGGGTTCCAAAGAATAATTTTGTTGCTTGAAAACCTTCTGGAGTGTACTTAATTATTAGACTAGGTGCTAACAGATCTCCTCACCCTTCGCCCGGCCTTTTCCTCGATGAAGTCAGAGATGTTCCTCTCAATAACAAGCATGTACTTGCCCACCCTGCTGAGCACCACCAAGTTAAGCGGGATGCCAAACAGAGCGAAGAACACGCAGAAGATCTGGCCAGCAGTAGAGCTGGGACTCATGTTCCCATAACCTGTGAAACTGTAAGCTGTTAGTATCTCATCTCACTGAGAAGGAGAAAAAAAACTATTATTTTCTGATTCAATTGTTCAATCAGTTAAAGTTTAATTAATTCTTGATTCATGTTTGAGAAGCTGAAATCAGAGAATTTGGACACTCTTAATAAATGACTCAAAAAGACTGATTATCAAAATAGTCGACAACTAATCAATTAATGGACTAATCGTTGCAGCTCTTCAATGAAATAAACTAGAGAGTAGCTTTGACAAAGTGGGAAATTCATTTTAAAAGCTCACCCACTGCTCAGAAATCTTCAAAACACATCTCTTGTGTATGAAGTGGTAATTTACCACATTAAATGAAATAAAAGGCTTATTCATACTGACAGAATGGTTGTAATCTTTGGGCTTTTAAATTGGTCAATATATTGAATATTTAAACACAATGATAAATCCTGCTTCAGTTATTCCAACACAACATTACAACTCAGGTCACTGAGCAGGCTAAAATCCTGATATTATTGTGTTGAATAGGATTGTTGTGGGGCATGAACTGGAATCTGCTGGGTTTCATCCAGTGATGTCTAACCTATAGTTGTGACCACAGTGGCAGCAAACACAGCTGAGCTGGTGAACTTCCAGAAGCCATCTGTGGTATAGTTGCCCTTCAAACTTAGGCCAGCCTTGGACGCATCGTGAACAACCTGAAACACAGATAAGAATCACAAACTGGGCACAAATGGACTTGGGTCAGACTTTATTACTCACAGTTGTGTAACTCCTGTACGTGGTAATCTAGACATCTTGAGGCCTTTTAGGTCTTTACATGTTATATATATGAGATTTAAAACATTAATTCAGCAGCAAACTATTTGTTTGTAAAGATATAGTGGAGTCATTGGTGTCCTGAGCAGAGAATGACGTCACACTTTGCCTGTGTTGCTATCGCAGCAACTTTGTGATTTGTTTACAAAGCTGGGCTGGCCTTGTGAGTCCCACTGTAAACAACTGAGGAGAGCGACTGAAACTGTTGTTTTTGTCTCTGTAGGGATCATTTTCTTAATGTTGTCGAGCACTTTTAGGGGACGTACTTTGATGCGTGGATTTGTCCCCAGGGATTAGTTTACATTGCAGCCTGTTTCGCAAATATTTTCATACCTAACCCGGTGAATTAAGGGTTTATTTTGAGCATACAAGCGTTGGTGATTGTGGGAACAGTGGAAATACTAACAAAGACAGTTTTGGTGAGTTTTATTTGGTTTATGTCCAGAAGATACTTTATATATTACCCTCAAATTTATCAGTAATGATGCAATACTTCTCAATCGCGAATTGGTTTATTACTGTAAGTGTTTTACAGAGCAGGAAATGCATTCATATCAGTTTTAACACAATGCAATCTCAAACTCTTTCTCATATCACTTATCAAGAATCTGGTGTTTTTCACACTGCAAATAACATGCAACATAACATAACTTGCTTTTCCAAAGAATTCATTTAAAAATCTAAAACAAAGATCTTCTTCCAAGAAGAAGGAGATCGCACAACTTTGCAGCTGTGATAATCAAGTCAGGGAAAGACACACGCAGGCAGTGTACAATGTGCCGTGCTAAAGGAAGCTGGTATTTGCATGAAGTCGTCTCTCTGCCAAATAAACACAACAACAAGATTTCAAATAGGGCTGATTCGGTTATTGTTCTTGTTTAAAGGCCCAACTCTGTATTGCTTAACGGTGCCACTATTGTTGTTGATACCTTGAGTGATTTATTGGAAGTGAAGGTAAAAAATAGCAAGCATGTAGTGGCAAAATATTAGTCCAATGTATTTTTATTCAACAAAAGTGGTTGTTTTGGCCACCATGGAATATTGAAACAGTGAAAATGTATCAACTGTATGCTAGTTGGAAAGAGTACTGAAATACATTTTGTGAAAACAGAGGACAGCACTGATTTGTGTGTATAAAAGGAGTAGGGTTGTGGTCCAGATGTAAATTCAGTGGTATCTCTCTTTAACCCACAGCTTGACATATATCAAACAACATTGCAGATGATGGTACCATCAGATATAAGCTCAAATTTGCTATTTAGAATGTCCCTGGTAAAAGGAAATTAGTTCCTGGGACTGTAATATGCTGACATCTATGACCATGTGGCTTGTATTGCTGTTTTAAAACATTTCCCATGTCTCGATGTCTCACCTGAGCCACTGCCTCCAAGCCCTCCTGGTTCAGACAGGTGTACTTAGTAAGCAGAGCCTTTTTGTTCAACAGTAACATACCGATGTCCTTCTGTCCGAGTTCTCCCTCCAACTTCCAGAAGACCACCCCGCCGATCAGCACGTAGGTCACATAAACCAACCCGAGCATGAGGATGGAAGGCACCCGCGCCAAGCTGAGCATCTCCTTTATTTCCATCTTGGCTCCCCGGTAGAACTTTGGGATCCAGGCTAGCTCAGCGTCTCAACCTCTGCAGGACAACAAGGACTGAGTCTTGGCTTCTCGTCTTTCAGGCAAATGAACTGTTTCAATCACTCCGATGGCCTGTCATGCAAATCTAGAGGAATAAAATAAGAGCAGGGAGAGACGCCAGCAGAGGTTGGGCTGTAAGTGATGTCAGTGTGGAAGGTCAGATGATGAGCTCATTGAGTCTGCCTTGTTATGGCGGGGGTCACATTAAGACCAGCTGCAATAGTTTGTATGTGCACTCCACTAGTCCACAAAACACAGAGCTTCCACATTATATATCACACTATATCAGTTTCAATTATTCAGCACAACAGTTTTCATACTGACTGGTATAGCCATCTCCCTGTATTCAAGCTGCCTGTCTGGAATCAGTCCTGGATGCTCTCGGGTCACTTCACATCACCACCTTGATTAATGGGTTTGCTTAAGATAGCCCTCCATGCTCAATTCACCAGGGGTTTACAATCAGTACACAAACGCAGATGTGGACTGGACATGATCACACAAACACAGACACTTGCACCGTGTAACATTAGAACATTATAATAATAATAATAATAATAATTATATATTATAATAATAAAAATAATGCAGTTGGGTAACATACAATAAAAAGTAAACAAGAGTACAAAAACAGTTCATATCATCATGTGAGGATGGAAAAACACTACAGGATTCCTACCTGAGACACTACGGACAATACAATTAAACACACAGATCAATGTTTTCATATTGAGACCGTATTTATCACTGCTGAAAGTAAGTTTGGACTTAAAGATAACTTTACACTTTGAAGCATTTTTAAGATATAAGAGAATTGTTTTAGAGTTCTCTTAAGTCGGTATAGAGTAGATCCTTGATGGCTAAGCACACACAGCTCTAATACATATCATTGTTCATGATGAATAATATGTTTTTTGGAGTATTATAATATAATTCAGAGTGTAGTATACATACATACATGTTAGGGTACAATTTTATGTGATGTGACATTTTTGTTACATGTGTTTTCTTGTTTTTGGCAGGAGTGCAAACATGAATAAAGCTAGCATTGAATTTGCTATCCATGCTTTGTCTTTGTCTGCCTTTGTTATTGTGGCACTACATTCTGCTCATTGTGTTTTCATTGTGTTTTCTCACATGTACTCTGTATAATTTAGTTCCTGCTGCAGTTTTCCCATCATTTCCTCCCATTTTTAACAGCTGGTGGGATATTAAAAGAATTTCACAATTTAAAAAATGTAATACAGAATAAAAGAAGAATAAAGAATAAAGTCAAATGATCTTTTTAAAGAATAAACAATAAGGCAGATGCAGGTTAAATCCTGGTCTCTAATGGACTATTTCTACTCAGAGCATACATGTGATTAATCCCTTTCCAGTTGCTTTTAAAGGTGACTCTGTTACTACACTGAGTGTAGGAGTAAGTCACTTTATAAATGTGTGTTATTGCTGACACTCAGTGAAGACCTTTTGTACTCTCGAGTTGGCTCTTTAAAGAATTCTTAAGTGTAATTCTTGGAGAGTTTGATAAATAAGCCCTGGCTACTGTACTGACTCTTGGGCTTAACTGAGGTAGAATTGTCAAACAAACACCGGTTGTGTTTTTCCAGCCTACTGTGTAATATATTCAACCAATTCTCCACAACATAATTATAAAGTAAGGCATTTGAAGAAGAAATAAATATGCTAGGGCAAATATCTTACAAAAACAGTTATGATAAAAAGCTGCTACATCTGCTTTCTTACTATGCATCATAATATGTACAGAAAACAATCCCACTACTCTACCTAGTGAATATACATTTAGATAGTCCCAACTACTGTCCGCTGTCAGATCTTTGACATGTCTTCTAGTTTACTGGATGACACGTCCTCTTCTTTCTCTTGTTTCTTAAAGCCCGGATGAGTCAGGCCAATCGCACGCTCCATTATTCTGGCACCCATGTTGAGGATAAGAGCAAGCCAAGCCAGGGCAAAGATGATCCATATACCTGCCAGGCTGCGGTACAGAGAGATGTACTGCTTGCCGGGGTCAGTCCCTAGAAGGATCCACATTATCTTGTTAGTTTATCCCAGACAGAAACACTGGGACAGTATGTATGTATGTATATGTAAGACATTTTTATTTAAACATGCATTAGATATTTTAAATTAAAACACAGCAATTGTCTCAAAGCATTAAAAGGCATTTTATCTAACACAGATTAACGCTGTGGTCTTTCCACCACATTAGTGCTTTGTTTGCTCGCTCTACTCACCCACCACATAATCTCCAAAACCAATGGTGCTAAGGGTAATGAAGGCGAAATAGAAGCCCTCGCCAAACGTCCAGCCTTCCACGTAACTGAACAGCAGGGGAGGGATGACCAAAAACAGCAGGCTGCCAGTGATGAGGAACAAGCTCACTGCTAGAGCCTCAACTGTTTGCTAGGAAACAAACACAGTAATCTTAGGTGAGATTCAGAGGTATTGGGCATGGCAAAGTAGCAATTGCCTTTTCTTGGTGTATCATAAAAGCAAAACTGACCATAAATCTGTCTAGAAACATATCTCAGATGTTTTCAGTCATCAAAAATCAACAATTCCCTGGCTAACACGTCAGCACCTTGTGCGGAACTACCGAGTCCATTCCCTTCTCCAGTCGCCCCAGGTGGATGGTGAGACACTTCCCAAGCTGTTTGAGGAAGGCCAGGTTCAGTGGGATTCCACACAGCGCATAGAACACACAGAACACCTGACCGGATACAGTGCTGGGGGAGAGGTTGCCATAGCCTGCAAACCAGATCATGACTTGTCATCATCTTATAAAATATCTTATAAAATTTTTAAAAAATGCTAATGCAGTATGTAAAGATGCTGACCTATGGTTGTGACTACTGTGCCTGCAAAAAAGAAGGAGCTGCAGAAATCCCAGTTACTGGGGTTTGTTGAGTTGCCCGAGGGATTCACTCCCTTTTCCCAGGCATCCAAAATCACCTGCAAACACAAATTGATTCAAATCCAAGAATAAGGTCCCACTCAAGGAAACTGACCTATTTACCTCACTAATGCTCTTTTAATCACTTGGGTAAATATTTCAGATCATACACACAGACAACACACTTATTGATTTATTAGGTCAGGTTAACTGTAATAGCATTTATTGCTCTGTACCTAACCTCATCATAAAATTGATCTTCTAATTTCTCTGTCAATCAGTATTTGACAGTATATTTCACTCAGCCCTTTCCATCATTATATTTACTTTATGTACAGACATGTATACAGCTAGGGGCCTTTTGTCAATCATCACTGACAGACCATGAGTTTTAGCCATTACCATTTTGAATATGAACAGAAGCTGACCTATTTGGTCTGATATGACAAAATCCAGACCAAGAACTCTCCATCGCACTCATGAAACTTTAATTCCTCAAAGAACTGTGAAGAAAGTGAAGGAAAACCTGAACAAACTTCTCCAAGGCTGGCCCGTCCAGGCAGGTGTAGTTAGCCAAGAAATTCAACTTCTCCAGTTGGAAGTGGTTTCGGTTGTTGCTCTCAGCCTCTCGCTCCAGTATCTGGAAGATGGTGGCCCCAACCAGCAGGTATGTGAAGTGGGCCAGAACCAAAAGCACTGTCCAGCTCACTTTGACCCGGACCAACTGTAACCTCGCCATCAACCTCCTCCAGCACCGGAATGGACACACACGCTGATGCTCAAACTCAGAAAAGAGGTTAATCACTTCAGGGAGGACTAACAATCAGTCTTGATGAAACATGCAGATCTCATGAGTAGTTCCGCAAAGACAGCTTTCATTACTGCAGACTGTTCTCCAAAGTGAGACAAAAATCAAGAAAGGTTGATGTTTGGTAAGCGGTAACTTAGGGTGACAGCTCTGACTGAATAATCATCCAAAGGTAAAATATCTCAACTCAATGCTCAGCTTCTGATTGGTCAGAGTACTATAGATGCTGGGTGTTGATTTATGGGTTGCTTAGGTAACGATCAAACTCCTCCTCTCCATTAGTGCGACATCTGGACACACACACAGACTTTCAACTGTTTCCACTAATAAGGAAGCAGGGGCAGCATCAAGAACAAAAGTTAATATTTTACCTGATTGCTGTTGGCTGTTCAGGCACCCACAATTGTGGAGTGCTGATGCCAGAGCCTTTCAATAGCATTTTGCAATGTGGGATCTAATTTAACAAAATGTATTTCAACCACAAACTATTTTGATTCCTGAATTGACTTACTTTGCAGAAATTGCTGTTGAAATAATAATAATTGGTGCCAAAACTTGAGTCATGTTGTGGGAGATAAATCTACATAAATTAAGTATGAACACTTTGAAATCTCACCAGGCTAAAAGCTCAACTTTTCTAACCCGTAGAAGTCTGCTGGAACAATCATCAGACATTTTCCCCACATTCGGGAGCCAAGCATGTTTATGGTCCGATGGAGGGGAAGGAGATGACATTTTGGAGAGGTGCAGAGAGTACCACTTGATCGTGGGCCATAAAGCAAAGAGTTGAAAGAAGTCTCATGAGAGAAGCTAATGGAGTGCTACGGCTGCAGTGTTTGTATAAGATGTAAGAAAAGCACACAGTATAGAGTAGATGTCACCAAACTGCAGCTATAATTATAGACATTTTCAGTCCTGTACTGGTGTCCTAAAGTCACTGCTTGCCTGCCTGAAAAAAAGAACTCTCATTTGGGGTAGAGTAAAAGTTTAGCAAGAACATAGTAAACAGTGGGATTTCTATGATTGCTACATAACGTGATATGGAATATGTGATGCAATAATTATTAAACATACTTAATTTCTTTTATTCTTAGCAAAAACTGTACTTATGTGTGCAGAAACAAGCCTATTGAAAGTGCTGATGTGGGTCTTTCATGCAGTACCTCATTCATGTCTGTAAACCATAGAACATTTTTGAATTCTAGTGATTTAGAGGCATACATACATGTAAATAGATGGTTTATGTTTCATTTCTTACATTTTCCGGTTGTACTTTTTGTTTAAAGATCCAGTGTGTAACATTTAGGAGGATCTATTGTCAGAAATGGAATATATTATTCATAGGTATGTTTTCATTAGTGTATGATCACCTTCTTAGAGTAAGTCATTTATAGCTACAGCTGCCGTAGATTGTCTTCAATGAAAGCCACCATGTTAATTAGAAATCAGACTTGTAGCTGAGTTTGTGCTGAAATAAAACTCCCACTATTAAAGGAAACACTATGATAGCTCTCTAAGCTAGAGGTAGGAATATTCATGTAGTTATTGTATTATGTGTGTATTTTGTTGATTAGAAAGAGTTTTAAGTACACCCATATCATGAAGGAATATTAGATAACATGACCTGACCAAGGAAGGGTTTTTCTCCAAGGCAAGTCTCCCTGGATGCAAATTGTGCAGCTGCTTGTCATGTGTCAACCAAATCAACGCAAAACCATGCAAACAGGTTGTTCCAATGTTCACAGGTTTTCTTCTGTTTAGGTAGGTGTGTAGAGGTGGCTCTGAGATGACTGGATGGGTAGATTTTGATTATCAGCTGTTATTGACAGATATAGTGAATGCTGGGAGCACTGGGAAAGTCAGATAAGACAAATGGGCTGTCTGAGCAATGGACCACTCTTCATGTAGTGAAGTGGGTGTACATTTAGTAAAGAAATGTGTGTTAGTCATACAGAGACCACTCATAACCTAAACTGTGAACTGGCTAGTCCAATGTTCAATTTACTCTGACTGATATTATCTACACTGAACTATCACTTTAAATGTTACTACAATTCCCTGTAATCATCTGTAAATGATTATTCAGTCCAATGCTTACTAATAAACTGCATGCAAAGAAATTCTCTTAAACCTATTTGAATTTCAAATACTGTATCTTAAGGAAGCCCTGTACAGACTGGAGGCTTATTTAGGGTGTTTCCCTTCCCTGCCTTCTGCCCAGTGCATGCTGGGATAGGCCCCACCTCTCTGTGTCCCTGAATAGCATAGGATAGATTGATTTTTCTTATATAATTTGCCTTCAGAATGTAACTAAGGGTGAATTTCCAGTTTTTCAGTATTGGTATATATCAATTATATTGTGGAAGAGATCTGACTGCTGATGGCCTGTTTTTACAGTATCACTGATGACGCAATCTAAAGTTGTCCTTATAGCCGTCATGGCTGAAGTTCGTGAATAATCACTTATAGAGGTAAATTTTCCTGGGTCATTTTCCAGTTGACATCCATAGGAAAATTTGCCACAGTAACCCCCATACTACAGGCGTCATTTGGAAGAGACTAACTGTAAAAGAAGACCTACAAGAAAAAGATTTTGCATGAGTGATGATAAAGAAAACACCAATAGTCTATTTCATAGATCTCTTACTGAGTTTAAGTCTCAGCTTCCCACAAAATACAGAGCAGGAAGACAGGGTGTAATGATACTACAGTATGTGTTTGTCAGTGCGAAGTACACGGGCAAAGTAAACAACTCAATCCACTAATACATGTTAAGGCATCTTAGTTCTTTTGGTAGTTGAAATTTTGTCATCATTCAGCTTTATTTTTGATTAAATATTTTGTTTGGATAAAAAACAACTTTTTTTTTACAGAAATAACCAGGTAAATTGTACTGTACATATATAACATGTTTTTACAACATTTTACATAAAATGTGTTAAAGTTAGAATAAAATGACACCAGACAGAAATACGAAATGCATCTGTCATTGTGCCGGTCGACACTTCCTGTAATCATTTAAGAATTCATGACACATTCAAGTCAAACACATACTGGAGCCGACTGGTTTCCTATTGTGCGCTCCTTCCTCTGATATCTTGAGACAACATTTGTTCAGATCAAATAGCCAGTGCGGGCTGTGATTTACACCACTGCCCATTATATCACTGGCATAATAAGTGTGTGTGTGTGTGTGTGTGTGTGTGCAGGTAAAAATCAGACAGGATGTGTGGCTTGTGTTTAGCAGAGGGGACATTTATGAGAAATATAGTGTGTTTTGGAACCAGATGAGATAACTGTCTTCACACATCTTTGCTGTCAGTCCATTTGTTCTCCCTAATGTTTTTAGGATCATTCTATCACCTGACAGATGACGATATCTTCAGGCCATGCATGCTTCATCAGAACTTCGTGTTGTTACTGAGGTGGACCTAAAATACATGAAAAACACAAGGTAGATCAGAGATCCAGTTGGAAGCATTTGATAAATAAGTAAATGCCCAAAAAGCCATCCCTTCCCTTAGCCATCCAGAAATAAGACTTGGTCTGACAAACTCTTATTTTTCTCTTTATTTTGAGAGTAACAAACCCTGAAATGATATGGCAGTGAAGGAAACACCCCCTGAACTATGACTCTTTTTGCCAGGTTCCTTACATTTCCCAGCATGCATTAGTGGCTTACAAGCTGTTTTGATAGGGGGGATAGCACCATACAGGGGTTACCAAAGAACCAGGGAGAGGGGCTTTCCTGTCAAAACACAGTCTCTATCCAGCTTAGTAGTGCCAAGGTAAAGAGGCATGAAATGAGTCGACATTGCCTAAAGTGGGGAAGGAAAACAAAGGTTGGAAAGAAAGAATGAAAGAGAGAAAGAAAGAAGACTTCAGAAGGCAAACAACTGTTTTTTTTACGTTTTTCTGTCTGGTGTCTCTGCTCTTTTGGCCATCTTTCTGTCTGTTCACATGACCTCAGCCATTCTGGATATCTAGTGGCAAGCCACAAGACAGCCAATTCCACTTTACTGTCTGCCAAAGTAAGCAGCTACACAAGGGTCAAAGGAGAGGAGAGTGTGTGAGTGCAACAGAGAGAAGAACCACGTAAGAGCAAAAGATGAGTGGCTGTAGAGCTGTAGAGAAAACATGAAGCTGCTAAGGGGTGACTGTTTTCCGAGACCTGTTTGTGTGAAAATCAGTGTCAGAATTATGACATAATTTTGACATTGCCTACCCATCATGCTCTACTGTAAGAAAGAGCAAAAATCTGAAATAATTTTCAGCTTATGATTGATTTTGTTAAATTGAACAGGTAACAGTGTGAGGGATACAAATTAAAAATACAACTCAAAACAGGACATTTATGGTTATATAAACTTTGCTGTACGGTGAAGTGTTGCAATCACACCACCAGAGGGCAGTGTTGTTCGCAAAATGCATATTGTGTGAAAGCTTTGTGTGTGTGTTTTACCTGTCCTGTTAAGGAGGTTTTGCCTGGCTCTGACAAAGGCCTGGATGTCAGCATCAGCCTGCTGGTCTCCAGTCAGGGGAATAGAGGAGGATGAGAGCTTTGTGGTGGACAGGGCCCTGAAATGTAAATATGTTTAATGTAGTCTGATAATACCAGTAAAAATTCTTCAGTTTCTGTAACACAAATCCTTTCCTTCTACGTATGTGAGGAGGGGGACTGCTGTAAACTGTTTCAACTGTTCTTGTTTCAAAAGCTTAAAGTAAACCGTAACAGGTAACAGCTCCTCATATCATGAAGCCTCTGTATGAAACAATAGTATCTCTGTCCTACAAGTGGTTGCTGGAGATGACCAAAAGCATATACGTTATGCGCTGAGTGTTTTACTGTGGTTGTAAAAAGGTAGTTTCAGCAGCAGCGTTTGAGCGAGACCCCAGGTCTTTGATTTGTTAATAGGGTTTGGAGACATTACTTCACAAAGGAAATAAAAATTTATGGCGGCGTTCATAAGAGGGAGAGAAAACACTGCACAGCTATAAAATCTACAGGTCCAGGCTGTATGTAAAGATTGAAGAGCTACTGCAAACATGTGGGTACAGTATAATACTGTACTGTTTGCATTTGTGAGACACTTGAAAAATGTACACATAGTGTATACATGGTTTTTAAACCAGACTGGATACAAAATTCACTCATCAATTCAATTGTTTCAATTATTTTTACAGCCTTTGTGAATCCAAATTGCAATATTATGAAGTAAGAAATGACATGTAATTTCTTATAGTCAGAAATTAGTGTTTCTTCTTGTTCCTACAGTGTGCTGTTTGAATGCTGTCTGTGCAGTTTGACACTAGAAGGATGTT